CTTCTGGTAAGGTAAACTGTAAATACTAATCATCACGTCGACAGATAGAGTAACTGTGACATCTTTATTTACTGTACATAATCTAACAGATACTGTATTCGAATGACCAGTGATTTCTAATATTTATCAATCCTCAATTTTTAGAAAACAACTACACTGACCATTTGAAGAATACAAAATATTATTTCAGATGATGTATTTTTCAGTGACATTAGAAGGGAGAGGAAAAATAGTTATTAAATAGTATATTAATTGAATGAATGACATTTATGTTATTCTTTTCATACACACTTCAGTCATTTAGTTAATCAACATTTGTCGTATACAATTTCATGTATCATCTTTGTCATTACAACAACAATAGCTAGAAAACAATTTTGAAGATAGGACTATGAAGACAACTAGACTACTATTGTTATTACCATTGATGTTAATGATAACAACATAGTTGATCTTTATTTGCATGTGTACGTGTGAATGCGTAAATCATGATATTCCTCCTTCAAAATATCCACTCTCTTTGTCTCTCTCTACGTCTCACAAAGTGATAGACAGATGCTTAAACAACCAACAGTGTAGATTTCGTTTTTTGTATGATCACAGAAATCAGAATATCGTTTACATTAAGTGGAATTCATTGTTATTAAAATCACTATCAATACATTTGTAGTACATGTTGAATACATTAAAGTTATATCAATGTCGACATTTCTTATTATATAATCACTAAATCATTATAGAAAAACATTTTTCGACTTTTTTTAGGAAAACACAACAACAGAACTCTATTAACACATGGTCCCTATAAAGTTCGATCATGAATAGATGAACTTTCATAAAGAAGAATTTATTATTAAAATCGTGGATCGTGGATGCGCACTGTTGAGGAGTCTCACAATAGGACGAAACGACCGTCCAGTGCTTTCAAGTTTTCCACAGTGATCTAGCTTCAATTGACTCATGATTTCAACTATGTATAAAAAATATTATATACTTAATTGAATCGATTTTTATGGAAACCCTTTTAATAATAAATTAATATTGACAAATTATTTATTTATTTATTTGAACACATAAATATTGGTACAAGGAGGCACCAGATATATATGCTCCACGCAAAAAAATTGTCATTTCATTTAATCGTGTGAGGGCTATGATACTGCCCGGGTGCTCAGACCGATGCAGGTGGTTTTCTTACGGAGCCACACCCGAAGCCTTTGACATGTAAACATTTTTATTTGAGTTACTGAATTAGTTATATAGTACTTTTCAATGTTAAACATTTCAAGAATTGAGATTTTATTGAGAATATAATTTAGTCTTGTTAAATAAAGTAACCTAGTGTGATATATAAAAACTCATAAACATTTTGATGTGTGATGAAGATAGAATCAGGTTATAGGTTTGATATTTCCTAACCGTTAATTTTTGATGTGATTAATTCTATCTATATAAACCTTATCACTATTACGAAATAATTGGGTCTTTTTTCATTTTACACTTTAAGAAAATTATAACTTGTAACATCGTCAAATTGGAAAACATTGTATGAATGCAAGGAGATGTATAATGTTTATTTGTTGATGTACGAATTGTACTTACAACTATGATTTTATTATGGTTTACTTTTTTTTAAGTAAACCTAACTGTAAGGAAAATTACATGACCATTTAATAATTTACAAGTAGATATTTCTAGAGCTTACAAATTATTAGACATACTTGAACAAGATCGACTACAAAAATAATTCATTGATGCTTGCATATAAAAGCATTATGTAAGATCTACTGGGTCGTTTTATAAACATGTTGAAGACCTGACTAAGTATTCGAAAGTAGACAGATTTTTCCTTACATATGTGACTTTCTGTGCTGCAACATTATAAAAAAACAGTTGGGAATTTCGACAAGTGCATGAAACATTTAGGTTTTACTATAAGCGGTTAGTAGAGACAGTTGAATTTTATATTATATATCACAGGCTAATCTTAATTTTTTTAAAACATTAAAAACCAGGAAGATTTATTCATTTGTTCCATCCTAGTATAGGAATCTTCAGGAGTGTGTATACACTGTTCACCGTAAATCAAACCCTGTAATTTTGACCTTCAGTGAAAGCTTGACCTTTAAACTACTAAAGAATGTAAACCACCGGTTTCCGTCCAACTGATCCAGAGATTAAGCGTCATCATAACGAAATAAAGGTTCTTTATCCAAGTTTTATTACTATTCAGTAGTTATTTTTACTCATTAGATTCATAGGCTGATTAGTCTATGAGGGAAAAATTTTATTTATTTATTTATTTAAAGTTGGGTAGAACTAGAAAGGAAGGCCCAGGATAGAGTGGGTTGGAGTAACAGACGTAAGTAAGTAAGTTTATTTATTATCTATTTACTTATTTATAGACATAAATATTGGTACAAATGGGTATTAGATAAATATGCGCCACACAAATCGAATGATTTGTGTGAGGGCTGTGATACTGCCCAGGTGCCCAGACTGAAGCAGGTAGTTTTCTTAGGGGACCACACCCGAAACCTTTGGCCTAAAGATCTGATCCACAAGGCAGTGGAGCATCGTGAGGAGATGCAGTCCCATGGTAGCCGGTGACCAACGATTGATTCATACGCTATTTGTTCCCTCAGGATACTAGAGCCCGCTTGCACCATTGGTTTGGAATCAAGGTTCTTCGATTCCCCTAGATGAACCCTCTGTATTCACCAACACTTTTAAAGCGCCGGACATTCACTTTTCGTCCTCTCAATTTCGTAAACAACAGTAATGCCGAGAGAAGGCAGTGAGTAGGACTTCCCTGGTAGAGGCTATATACGCGTGGCCATATGAGGGCATTTCGAGAGGGAGATCGGACTTTCCCCACTCTCAGCCGTACCAAGGCATTTTGGAAAAATTTATTTCTAATCAAATCAAAAGTTTCTCAAATTCGACATGATATCGTTTTACGTGATTTATCAATGTTACAGTACACTTTATTTAGTATTGAATACCAATCAAAAATATAGTTTGCATTGAATCATTTACATGAGATTATCAAATGTCCTGGTACACTATATTCTTACCAAAATTACTACATCTTTTTCACGTAGTTTTGTAATAGTGATCTCGTTTTTTTTCCCATAAATATGGTAATTAGTTTTCTTCTCTAAATTTAAGTCAATCTAACTACCTCTCATCAATTTATTACGTAATCATCATTACCATCTATCAAATGAAACGTAAACGAAACCATAAGGAAATTCATGTGATTTTCATTTTAACATCATAGATTTTATCTGAAATCACTAAGATATCGCCATATAAATTTCATTAATCCCTATTTTTATATACATTCTACTATGCTTTATATTATTTCTTGTCACCCTTATTGATTTAAACAAAAATAAGTGTACCGAAAAATAGTATATGTTCAGATTTAATTATGTTTCATGTATATTGTTGTTCTGTATGATTTGTATTTTTCAGTTAACTTATGTTTTTAACTTATGATTCCAACGGAGGAAGAAATCAGGAAGAAGCGCTGGAAGTGGATAGGACATACATTGAAGAAAGCACCTAACCGTGTCACAAGGCAAGCCCTCACATGGAATCCTGAAGCTCAAAGGAGAAGAGGAAGAACAAAGAACACATAACTGGGAGAAATGGAGACAGACATGAGAAGATTGAACAAAAATTGGATAGACCTAGAAAGGAAGGCGCATGAAAGAGTGAGTAGGTTGGAGAATGCTGATCGGCGGCATATTCTCCAATGGGAGTAACAGGCGTAAGTGAGTACCTAATGTTCTATATTTTCAAATAAGTTTCCATAGGTGAAATTTTTACACTTGCACAAAAAAGATATTTAAGTTAAAAAGGTTATATTTTGATTCTTATTGAAAGATAAGAAATGTTTCTAATAAGAATTCTAACTGTCAAAATATAGAATTCTTTAAAGATTAGTCGATTTGAGTTTGCTTCATCATATCTACGCATTAGCCACAAATTAATTCAGCATAAGTAAGTGCTTTGTGTTTTATTTTCTTTTACATCAGTTCCATACTATTTTAAAACTTCTTTACAGTGAATAATCATAAATCCATAAACAAAAGATAATGCTTGTGAATTAAGGCAATATCGAGGGAATAGGCACAGTATGCACATATGCCAATATGAAACTGATCAGTTGCAGTCCTAAACATCAATGAGAAGATTCAAACAAACAATACTAAGTGAATTCAATCTTCACCCCATTGTACAAGCAAGGGGCTATCAGGACTCAGTAGCTGAGTGGATAACGCGATGACGTTTGAAGCGAAAAGTACTGGGTTCGAGTCTCAGAGTGAACATCAACTCTGAGATCAGGTGACAAGTCTCAAATACGACGAAACGCGCGTTCTGGATTCAACTGCTATCCACTATCCATCTTTGCTTATAAAAAATAAGTATTTGCAGTATTTTCGTTCAGTTTTGTTTACATTATCAATAACCATGCCAGTCCTTGTATTTTATTTTGCTAAATTCTTTTCTTATTTCCTAATTTCATTCAAAATATGCTCATGTTTAATCCGTAAAAAATGTTATTTTAAAAAGACAAAAACATTTATCAAGTACTTTATACTTTACTATCTTATTCAGTAAACTGACAGATATGAATACTTCAGAAATTTTTATATTACTTTTTCGTAAGAATTGACATATATTAATAGTTAAAATCATGAGTCAGTTGAAGCTAGATCACCATGGAAAACCCGGAAGCACTGGACGGCCGTTTCGTCCTATTATGTGACTCCTCAGATTCAATTGACTCATGATCTCAACTACTAAATTTACTATAATATCCACAAAAACCCCTTCTGATATTAACAAAACATTCTTCACAAATTTCTTCATTGGATAACAACTTTGTTTTCATTGTTGCTAATTATTCAGATAGTTTTCCCAAACTTTTGCATTAGGAAATCTCGGATTTCAGAGTAAACAAGATTAGGAATAAGTCGATAGCTCACCTTTAAAAATCTTGTTTTATGATAAGGCCTAAAATCGAAAATGTAAACTAATGAATTCCGGCTTGATTATTCAAAATATATAATATGAACTGATGAAGCGACCAACATTTTTTTTATTGTTAAGATGCTGTAATAGGTTTTAATCAACGACTTTTTAAACAATGTAACAATTTAATTTGTTATATATGAATTGTTGTACATACATCACCAGTTGGCGGCTGGGAGGTCTCAAGGTTAAGCGTTCATTGGTTCCATTCTTTATAATGGAGTCTTGTTTGATCAGTGTTGAAGAGCCCAATAGTATCATAAAAATCTCTATCCAGTGCTTCCTAGTTTTCGCTGGTGGTGTAGATATGATCATTTCATGATTAAAACTATGAAAATATATCTCAACGTTAATTTGCATACATTGAAAGTAAGCTAAAGTACGAAATCTTTATATTCATTTAAATCAGTAAAGAATTTCCTAAGTTTTCAGAAATTTCTAGAAGGGGATCAAACATTTTATATGGAAAGACAGAACTGAAATTTTCGAAAAGCAACGGCAGTCTTTTTATGTATATTTACATTTTTTTTAAAAAGCTTACTTCTCATCTGTATGGTGAGTAGTTATTGTAGTATATTCCATTTTTGACATTTAAATAGACAGCAATAAATTATTATTTGCTTTCTTTCGATGTCATTGTACTAATATACATATTGACAAGAGTGTACATGATTCCATTCATATGTAAGTATATGTGTATTCTGCATCAGTAATTTTGCATTATATCATACAATAATTATAACTGTTCATTTACTCAGTCAGATGTTTAAACGATGTACAATACTGTTAAGAAAATATCATTTATCCATTAGTGAGTCTGTTACAGAATTAGTAGTATATGTAGTGTTGGTCCTAAGAATATCACTAGTACTATTAGGACATGTAATAGTCATATTAGTAGTAGAAGTAGATAATTGTGTGCGAAACTTTTTATTTGGTAGTGTATGATGTTTGTCATAATTTAATCCTGTTAAACCTGGTGGTACACTGGCGATGTGTTTGCGTATTTCTGCGGAAATATTCTTCTTATCTTTACTTTGAAGAGTTGCATATATATTACCATGTAACGGACAAGGTTTGTAATCCGATGAATTCAAACAATTATTATCAATATTGCTGGTAATTTTATTGTTTATATTACCTGAATCAGTACTTATAACTTTATAGGTTTTTAATGCAACATTTTCGTCAGAAGTACTAGATATTTTCATATTACTTACAGAAGTAGTTAAATTTGAATTTTCCATTGGATTATATTTTTTTATGTTCGATGAAGAAAGATGAGATTCTGGAATTATCTGCATAGATTCAGTAACAACACCATCATAATTAATATCTACATTATTTGCAGCTGATACTGTGGTTGGATCTGTAGAAACTTGATGTATAAATGCATAGTTATGTATAGGGCAAGGAACAGTAAGTTCACTACCTGTCACTGTTGGTAATAAACGAACTGTTACATAATTATCAAATGTTGGATCACGTGATTTATGTGATAATAGATTGTGTTGATCTAAGACGTTAGAATTAGTACAATGCAAGTAAACATGATCATGTAATTCGGATGTTGGAGAACGTTTACACGTCATTACTATATTCTCATTCTTAGTTTCCAATGGTGTACAAAGATTTAGATTTTGTCCTTGCAGTGTATACGTACTTTTTGAATTAGTAATAGTATTTTTATCACTCAACGTACTGAAATTACTAGTGTTTATTGTATTTGACTCACCACCTAGTCCTTGTTTGAACTGATCTGATCTATTATCATAAGTTGGTACTGTTTTATTAATGCATAATTTTGGTCGACAATACATCTTTCCATTGAATAAATATATCAATAAGCCCATAATTACTAATAGTATGATTAAACATGCAGCTATCATTCCAGTGTACTTGAGTACAAGAGTTGTATCCAACTTACTAATCCAATAAAATACACCATTATGATAAAATGTTTCATCCATGGAAGTGCCACCATCCACTTGTACATGAAATGTTGTATTTACATTACCATAACCTGTATCTAAATAACAAACATAAATTCCTTCATCAGAATTTTGTATATTTTCAATTGTTAATTCAGCTAAAAAATTTCTACCTTGAGTTTGTTTAGTTATTAATCTTGGCCAATGATTTTGTATTCTTATACCATCTTTATACCATATAACAATACCAGTTGGATCAGCAAAAAATTTACAACTTAATGTAGAATTATTACCCCTTATAAATTGAATTTGTTGATTAGGTGTATATGATTCAGGTGAACAATAAAAATCCACAGTACGTATCATTTGTGTATCATTATGATTATTATTATGATTATTATTATTAATAATTGGATTAAATAATGGTTTACCATGTAATTTAATTGGTGTAGCACATTTAGGTTGTAATATTGTATTCATATCAATTTGTTTATTATTTTTTTGTTCATTTATTAACCAATAATTAATATCTAAATCAATATTATTATTATTATTATTATCATTATTATTATTATTTAATATGATATCATTTATTGATTTATAATAAATTAATTTTTTATTATATTTAATAAACCATTTAATTAACCATTTTAAATGACAATCACATTTCCATGGATTACCATATAAATATAATTCATTTAATTGCATTTGATTAAATAATAATTCATATGTATCTGGTAAATAATCTAAATTATTATTACTTAAATCTAATAATTTTAATTTATATAAACCATAGAAACTTTCATTTAATAATATTAATTTATTTAAATTATTTGATATAATTATTGATTGTATAGTTTTCCTTATTGGTAAAAAAAATCGATTTGGTATATAATCAATTGGATTATGTAATAAATTAATATAATTTAATTGAATTAAATCATTCATAACCATTGGATGAAATGATTCATATGATATAGTTAATGAATTATAACGTAAACTTAATATTTTTAATTTAGTTAAATGTTTAAATGTATGTAATTGAATAATTTTAATTTTATTTGAATCTAAATTTAAATAAATTAAATTAGGTAAATGTAATAATTGACTCATATTTAATAAATTAATATTTTGATGATTAATTGTTAATTTAATTAATTCACTAGGTAAATTCATTGGAATAATTTGATAATTTGTATTTAATTTATCACATATTGATTGACGCATTGAATAATTATTATTATATACATAAGTTACACAACCTTTAACACTAGATACTATTGGTATTGATTTTATTAATTGAATGATAATTGTATAATGAATAATTAAATAAATTATAATTGGAATTAATTTTCTTGTCATGAGATGATAATGATTGAAAAAGAAAAATTTAATTCAATTCAATATAATTATAAAATTAAGAAGATTTTATATATACTACTTAATTATCTGTATGTATATACATAATCATATATGATAAGTTGATATCAATGGAATAATTATTTGATAGTTATATATGTAGTTTAGTTGTATAATTCCATTCATTTTGATTAGATTTGATAATAGATGAAAATAAACAAATGATCACGGTAACTATATGAAAGATCAGTTTTATTAATTTTCCTTTTTTGTGAAAAAAAATTCCGAAGGGGGAGAATTCGTTATCCAAACATATTTAAAGTAGATTTATTGATATACTATTGGAATAGATTAAATTATCTGTTTATTATTCGGAGATTGGTGATTATTAGGAATAAGTGGAGTACGTGTGTGTATATATATGTGTGTGTATACATGTGTATGCATTGATATTTAGGTTTTTTTTATTTTTCATTTCTTCTTATACATCATGACATTGACCGATACTGTCATTGAATATACGATCATTAATGTTATCAAAGTTGATTGTTGATTTAGGTACTTGGTAAAAAAATATGTCAAAGACCACTGAAGAAATAATAATATGTAGTAAATTAATCTCGAAATATTCAGTTATTTAGATAATACATCTATCCAGTTAACCGGTTAACAAGTTAGTCAATTAATCAGCCAACCAAATCAGTCAGTTAGTTATCCAATGATGTAACAACTAATCATTCAGTTGACCAGTCAGTTAGTCAATCAGTCATTCAATGACGGTAATTCGTACTATGTCATATTATCTACGCCATCCGGCTTGATGTTTTTAAAATTTTCTTCGGAAAATAACAACACTAGCAAAAACAGTAACAGAAGAATTAATATTTAAATCAGAAAAAATTAAATACACATAGACGGTAAATAAAACACCAATTGTCTTTTCATTACCGAAAACTTTCCTTCACCTTAAATCGATTGGTTCATCCTAACTTCTTCAAAAACGTTATTACGATAGACAATAGAAGAGAAGAAAAAGAAGAAAGCAGTCTGTATTTTTGATTTTTTTTTTTAAATCATGTGGCGTTATATTCGTACACATACTTTACTATTTTGATCTGTTTAAATCAAACTAGTATAGTTGCAACAAAAAATATTACCATGTATTCTGTTCTATCAGCTGATCTATCTACACAAGTATAAAGTAACAAGATTGTGATAACAACAAATTTCTTTAAAACGTTGACAATCATGTATTAAATTTGTCGTTGTTTCATTTTGTTTCCCTGCTCAGTGTTACTGAAATGATTATTTGTATAAAAAAGGGGTTACACAACCAGTGAAATAATAACAGTGAATTAACTTGATTCACTTGCCTAAATCATGTAAATAAATAACACTTTTCTGAACTAATTTCCACATCATCAGGAAACATAAACAGATTAGAAATTGGGCAAATAGTCAAGAAAATATCATTAATGTATTCGAGAATATGTTCTTGACTGTATGTCTTTCTGCAATTGATAAGTTTCAATAAGAGCTATAAAGACTGAAAAGATAATATAATGCTAGGACTACCATCGACTTTCTATGTTGATATTTAATAATTGGGTAACTTTTCTCACTCTCCAACTCCTTGTTAGGGTGAATTCAGATAAACTCAGTTTTGTAAAAGATAGTGTTGAGAAAGTTGTACAAATTTATCTCAACACTACTGAAACTCGATCAAAAGTTGAGTGAATTCTGATAACCTTAAAGCGTATTTAACGTGTAACTGGGAATTAAAGAAATATATCGTCCAAAATGGGGCACATTTGGGAAAAGAAAATATAAATGTACCCAAAGTTTCTAAAGTAGTTTTTTTGTGTCAACAGTCCAGATACTAATTGCTTACAAATGGAAAAAATATCACACAATCAATCTATAAATTAACAGTGGTGCACGATATCTTGAAGACAATATTGAGACAATGCTGAGCTTAAGAATAATTTTTATGAAAATAAAAGGATAAAATGAAACTATCTCAAAACTAATATATAAATATCTCCACAGTGATCTGCCACGAAGACAAATATGCTACTTAATGGTAAACGGTATATTGGTTTACCCGACCTTTGGTCTGGAAAATGTGGCCTATTGATGATCAAGTGACCTGAGAATTGGTGGCAATGTTAATTTATCTGTAAATTAGTGATGTGAGACAGATAAATTACTCAAATGCGTTTGTAACTGCACAAAATCACAAGAAAGACTGACATATACATTTTAACCTTAAAAATAAGTGAAGAAAATGACCTGGTATAGGCTTTCAGAAAAGGTTATATCAAATGAACTGGCTATCATGAAATCATACAGAAATCTCACAACAATTCGTTCATTCACTGTTTTCAGTGTCTCAGAAATCATTGGCACGCCATAGACTAAGATTGAATTTGCTATCACTTACATACTAGAACTATAAATTTACTATTTTATACAGATGAAGAACACTAAGGATAAAGGTTAAAAATCAAGGGTCATTCACAAAATAAATACCCTAGGACTGCTTGGTATAAAGTGATTTCTCCCTCCATCAATGAAAACATCATAATAAATTAAGCTACAAATGATAAGATGTCTCACAACAAACAGTGGTAACATTAACTGAACTACGAAATCCTAAGGATTTAGGATAGAAACAGCTCTGCTGTCTTCAGGCATACTGATATATATCAATTCTAGCGACCCATAAGGTAACTGTATTCAACCTAACAGGAGAATTAGTTGTAATTGAACAACATATAAAAACGATAATGCTTCTGAGGCCAGAAATATTTAATTCGGGTCGGAGTAAACAGACTAGGACCTTGTATTTTACACCTTAGATACTTATTCATTTGAACTTAGTGAAAATATTGAAGCCGACTTGTTAACATTCGATAATGGATCATCACCATCATCGGAAAGCTGAGCTCCGTAAAGGTTCACAATATTTTTCGTTAAATCTGCAAAAATATTCAGAACACAATTTAGGACAATATGAGATTATCAAACGGATTAAAACGATTATACGAGTATAAATAATACGGAGTAATTAACAATATTCATTTTGATATCAAACAGAAAACCAATAAAAACCAAGACCAATAAGATAGTTATTTTGACGTAGATTATGACTTATAATTAACATCAAGTTGACGGAACACATAACGGAACAAATGATCATTCGATGTGATGATAAACAGTATATCTTGAACCCATTCGGTCAGAAACCAGAGATTCATATTTTTAACTTCATTCATCATGTGAATATACCATTATATTCAGTCATAACTATTGGTGAGCTACAATCTCCATGTTAATATTGGAGAATTCCAACTATAACCACAAAAATTCGTCATGAATCTAATCAATAATGAACATAATGTTAGTATTAATTTAGGACATTCTTATAAATACCTTTGTAAAACTTGTCATTTTATCGTAAATAAATATCAGCTATAGAATTGGTGGATAAAGATTTCATGATATAACAAATTGACTTGAACAGTACAATTAGATAGGCATTTATACATTGTGATTAGATAAGGTTTTGAAACTATGTATTTGATGAAATATAACTTGTCAGTGAACACTTAGGCAGCTACTTTTTTTAACCTCGTTCCAGTCTCCAAAATCCTTCAACAACCAGGAAAACATAAATGACGGGAAGCATGGAAGAAGATTTAATTAATTTACAGGAAAGCAGGGTATTTACTGTTTTACACGTTGCTATGGAATTTTAGAAACTTACAGAATGGTGGGAAAATTGGAAATGATGTTGATGAGAATCCAAACAAGATATAAAAGGCGACCTGTATATTTTTTAGAATTCCCTTGAAGTGTTTTGAAGAACTCTGACTGAAAAATATATACACAGTATCTTTTGAGCTCACTTGGATTTTTTTCGAGTAAGTATTGAGGGCCCTCAACGCGATCACATCTGGTAGATTAATGGATGATATTCAGAAAGGGTTTTGTGGAGATTTTAGTTAGTTTATATAATTGAGATCATGAGTCAATTGAAGCTGGACCACCATGGAAAACCTGGAAGCACTGGACGGCCTTTTCGTCCTATTACGGGACTCCTTGGCAGTGCACATCTACGATCCCGCCTCGCGAGATTCGAAACCAGGACCTATCAGTCTCACGCCAGAGCACTGAACCGATAGACCACTGAGCTGGCCGGCATCCGATGACGTTAATCTTTAACTTCAACTAATCCACGAAGTTGAGCAACCGTTCACTGATTGTCTTCAGTGAGTTGATATCTCACAACAGACGTGGTTGAACTCCACGGGGTTCGAATCTCGTGAGGCAGGATCGTGGATGTGCACTGTTGAGGAGCCCTACAATATGACGAAACGGCCGTCCAGTGCTTTCAGGTTTTCTATGGTGGTCTAGCTTCAATTGACTGATGATTTTAAGGATGATATTCAGTTTCAATCTAGGACAGAATGATCATCTATGATCTCTAATTTTTAATAGTTCTTTATAAACATTTTAACTATGACAAAAACTATCCATCAAAAGTTAATTATTTTATACATTTATATATAATTACTCAACAAAATCAACGTCATACAATTGATTTTTGTTTAATTATCTCTTTATGAAAAGTATACAAATAACTGACAAATATAAATGTGAACAGAAATGACAATTCAAAGTAATATGAAAAACAATTAATTTCATTTAGAAGGGGATTTGTGGAGATTTCAGTATTTTTCAAAGTCGAAATCATGAGTCAATTGAAGCTAGATCACCATCAAAAACCTGGAAGCACTGGACGGCCGTTTCGTCCTATTACGCGACTCCTCAGCAGTGCGCACCCACGAACCCACTCTCGCGGGATTCGAACCCAGGACTTACCAGCTTCGAGCCGCAGCCCTTAACCGCTAGACCACTGAGCTAGCATCCAACGGTGTTAATGTCTAACTTCAACTGATCCACGAAATTGAGCAACCATTCACCAATTGTCTTCAGTTAGTTGATATCTCACAACGGGATTCGAACCCCTATCGGTCTATCGGTTAAGAGCTTCGGCTCGAAACTGGTAAGTCCTGGGTTCGAATCCCGCGAGAGTGGGTTCGTGGATGCGCACTGCTGAGGAGTCCCATAATAGGACGAAACGGCCGTCCAGTGCTTCCAGGTTTTCGATGGTGATCTAGCTTCAATTGACTCATGATTTCAACTTTGAAAAATTAATTTCATGACCAAAAATAAAACAGGAAGTAAATGAACAGTAAAACTATAAAATCAATTAGCAACTATTATTATATAACGATAGCAGACTCATAACAGATACATGTATCCATTTAGAATTGTTACAATTTCATTAACCAAAAATGGACAATGGCTAGCAGTGGAATCCAGGATGCGCGTTTCGTCCTATTCGAAACTCGTCAGTAGATGAATGAATAACGCAATGGCGTTTGAAGCGGACACTACTAGGTTCGAGTCACAGAGTGAACATCAACTCTGAGATGCAGTTATCTCCAGCTGATTAGTCCCAAATAGGAGGAAACGCGCGTCCTGGATACCAATGTTAGCCACTAAACATCTTTGCTTGTAATGATTGTGAATTAATGCTATATCGAGGCAATACGCACAGTATGCACATATGCCAATAATAGAATGATCAATTGCAGTCCAAAACATCAATGGGAAGATTCAAACAAACAATACTAAGTGAATTCCATTAACTGTTTTAGAATTTTTATTTCAAACAGTTTTATCATATTGTAATAAAAATAATAGATAACTAAAAATAAGCAATATTGTTAATGAATAAGCTGAACTGCATGTTTAGAGTGTTCGCTTCAAATATAACCTTCTATCATTCGTAAAA